TAAAAATAAAATCTTTAGGGGCACCTGGGTGGCTCAGTTGGTTAAGTGTCTGGCTTCAGCTCAGGTCATGATCTCATGGCCCGTGAATTGGAGCCCCCATCAGGCTTTGTGCTGACAGCCCAGAGCCTGGAGCCTGCTTCAAATTCTTGTGTCTCCCTCTCTCTCTCTGCCCCTCCCCCGCTCACGCTCTGTCTCTCTCCTACAAAAATAAACATTAAAAAAATTTAATAAATAAAATAAAATCTTAAAAAAATACAAAACAATACATTTTGTGCATATATATATATATATATACACACACACACATACACACACACACAAATGTATGTGGGAGGAAATTATAAAAGCATGGTGGGGCAGAACACACATCATAATCCTAACTGATGTTGCTTCTGAAGACTGGAGGGAATGAGACTAGGAAATAGAAAGTAGTTTTAGGCTTGTTATGGTTTTTATTTTCCTTTAAAAGATAAGCAAAAATGAAAAACCGTAAATATTTATTCTGAGAGATGAGTTGTAATCTTATTATATAGTACTTTCTTTTATAGAACTTTTGTTATATTACATATTGAGAGTATATACATACTCTGATGCTTGTCACATTATTCTTTGCAATTTGGGCGTTTTTTTTTCAATTTATTAAATAGTCAATTAAACCTCTTCCCATCTACCCACCCCACCCAAAGTTACAATTAACCAAACGGGAAAGGCATACAAACAGGAAAGAGCCCAGAGGAAACACCCACATTGGCAAAAACCCACAAAGCTAGTTGAAAACGCTCAGGCAGCCCGCTTTACACAGTTAAACAGTCATGTTTGAAAAACAAAAAACAAAAAAACTTGAATTAATGAAAGGTCGTACTTCACACAGCTACTTCACAACACAAGTGGCTAGTTAAGAAACCGTGCAGTGATCTGGATTCCACAGTAACTGCCAGCTACCTGCTATGCGACCTTCGGTAAATTTCTGAAGAGGTCTGGGCCTGAGTTTCTTTATATTAAGATGGGATTTATAACACCTATCTCGAGAGCTATAGTAAAGACTCTCTTGGATACCATCTCTAAAGTGCTTGTCATAATACTTGATAGCTATTTGTTCAATGAATGGTAGTTATTGTTTGCGACAGACCTGGGATTAGAACTCCACGTGTGGGCATGTATTTCAGTAAAGCAAAATAGAAATATCTAAACTGATGCACCAAAACAAATAAATACCCAACAGTGAAGCAAGCCCTTGTTGACTAACATGTACTGCTAAAAGCAATATAAGAGAAAGACTAGAACTGCAAGATAGATAGGAGAGATCCTATCCATGAATATAAAAGAATTTTTATTTTTATTTTTTATTTTTTTTTTGTTTTAAATTTTTTTTTTCAACATTTATTTATTTTTGGGACAGAGAGAGACAGAGCATGAACAGGGGAGGGGCAGAGAGAGAGGGAGACACAGAATCGGAAGCAGGCTCCAGGCTCTGAGCCATCAGCCCAGAGCCCGACGCGGGGCTCGAACTCACGGACCGCGAGATCGTGACCTGGCTGAAGTCGGACGCTTAACCGACTGCGCCACCCAGGCGCCCCTAAAAGAATTTTTATATAAGGAAATATAAAGGAAATTTACTAAGTCCAGCAAATTGCAAACTGCCCTCAGGCAGAGAAAGGTAATGGTTAAGTTCAATATGAGTATCAATTGGTCAACAGATCCCATTAACCTGTAATCCACAAGGAAAGTCCTTTAGACTTCCACATGTCAAGTTTTAGATGATTTTATGAATTTTCTAAGAAAGGGGAATAGTTTTAAAACATACTTGGAGAAAAAACATATTTTCGAGGTTTTGAGTCAAAAAAAAAAAAAAAAAAAAAAAAAAAAAAAAAAAAAAAAAAAAAACCTCCCAAGAGCCCTATTATGAAGACACAATGCACTTTAATGGATTAAAAATTTGTAATTCTCCTATTCAAAAGTGATGAAAAAGGAAATAAAAAATACAACTAGACCAATAAATGTAGTAAGTAAAAATTCATCACTTCACTAATAAGTTTAAACTTATGGTTTAAAATGGTTTTGATGTTTCAAACCACACACACACACACACACACACACACACACACACACCCCACACAAATACCAGAATAATATTCATAAAACAAAAAACTAAAGTTCCTTAAAAAAAAATACTAAAGTTTTTAAACATATTGTGTGTAAGAAATTGAAAGTTTCTATGGGGCACCTGGGTGGCTCAGTCGGTTAAGCGTCCGACTTCGGCTCAGGTGACGATCTCACGGTCGGTGACTTCGAGCCCCGCAACGGGCTCTGTGCTGACCGCTCAGAGCCTGGAGCCTGTTTCAGATTCTGTATCTCCCTCTCTCTCTGACCCTCCCCCTTTCATGCTCTGTCTCACTCTGTCTCAAAAATAAATAAACGTTAAAAAAAAAATTGAAAGTTTCTAAACATACTGGATATGCAACATTTTTAAACAATTATGGATTATGTCTTCATAGGTTTTTTCCTGAAGATTCAAGTCCTATTATAAGATAATCAGGGAAATTTGAATGCCAACTGGATATTAAAGTATATTAAAATTGTAACTGTAAAAAATTATAATTGTTGTACTGAGGTTATGTGAATAAAATAGAGTCCTTACCCTTTAGAGATACTAAAGAATTTACAAAACACATAACCCGTTGGAGCCGGGGACAGGGATGGAGAGGGGGAAATAAATGAAATAAGATTGGCCATATTGTGAAGACTGCTGAATTTAAATGATGGGCACATGGCAGTTCATTATGCTCTTTTCTCTACTTTAGTATATTTTGAAAATATCCAGAGTAAACAATTAAAAGAGAAATATGTATTTAAAACTAAAAGCCAGGGGCGCCTGGGTGGCTCAGTCGGTTAAGCGGCCAACTTCGGCTCAGGTCACGATCTCGCGGTCCGTGAGTTCGAGCCCCGCGTCGGGCTCTGTGCTGACAGCTTGGAGCCTGGAGCCTGTTTCGGATTCTGTGTCTCCCTCTCTCTCTGCCCCTCCCCTGTTCATGCTCTGTCTCTCTCTGTCTCTCTCTGTCTCAAAAATAAATAAACGTAAAAAAATAAATAAATAAATAAATAAACTAAACTAAACTAAAAGCCAATGCTAATTGAAGAACTTAGTAACAAAACAGGAAAGAACCAAAAATAAAATAAAATAAAAAGGTAACGAGGCCTTACAACTCCTTGTTATTCAGTATAGTGCTAGAACATTCTATCCCTTTCTATCTTCTACCCTCCACTCTCCTTTCCTCCTCCCAGATTTCCTGGGTTACTGTGACTTAGGAGGACTCCCTCTACACTCATTCATGATGTACCTCCAACTTAGAAACATACTTTCAAATTGGTGCCTCACAACATATTCAATAATCTTTTTTTTTTTTTAATTTTTTTTCAACATTTATTTATTTTTGGGACAGAGAGAGACAGAGCATGAACGGGGGAGAGGCAGAGAGAGAGGGAGACACAGGATCGGAAACAGGCTCCAGGCTCTGAGCCATCAGCCCAGAGCCTGACGCGGGGCTCCAACTCACCGACCGCGAGATCGTGACCTGGCTGAAGTCGGACGCTTAACCGACTGCGCCACCCAGGCGCCCCAATAATCTTTTTTTTAATAACGGAGCACATTCAGCACTTTTTAAAATTGTTTACCATTTTGTCCTAAACAAACTTTAAGAGAAAAAAAAAACTATCTCATTTACCTCATCCATTTAAAACACCTGTATTTCGTATGCTTTTACTACACATATATTGGGGGTTAGTAATCTACAATTTTTTCCTAAAAATCACAAGATCAAAAGATCCATGGCCACCATTTTGCACACCAAGACATCACTTAAAAGTTTTTAAGAAGGAGCCAAGGGTGAAAAGTACTACTACATCAAGAAAAATTGAGCAGAAGTGCACAGGGAGACAAAACACCGGGAGAAAGACTATGGTCGGAGACAATCGTTCACTAATTGAACAGACGTTCAACCAGAAGTGGGATGGGACGGAACTGGGCAGGAAGGGGACAGGAGCCCTCAAGAGAAAGGCTTGGTGATTAAGGTTGAGAAAGGTGAAGAGGGAGTTGGCCTGGGGGAAAGAAGAGGAGAGTGACTAATTGGCAGCATATTCAGGTACTGATGAGAGGAAGAACCCAGATGAAAGCAGGAAGGCAGGGTCAGCCCGTGTACAAATGGAAGCCATCTTTGGATATGTGACATCTGAACCCTAGGGAGTGAGCTCTCCTAGGGAGACACTGGGAAGACAGGTCAAAAGGCTTAACCCAAATTCGGGGCACACTAGATTTAGGAGGCCAAAAAAAACGAACAAGGGGAAACCCAGAAGCAGCTGCCTGAGGAAAAAGCCGCACTATTTCAAAGTGGTCCCAAGAATGGGCGGTCACCAGTTTGGGCCACCAGGGAGACGTTGGGGCAGGAGCACTGGGAGAGGACACTGCAACATCGAGGAACCTTGAGGAGGCCCTTTCAGGGCAGGCGGTGCGTACTAGCTTCGGAGATCAGAAAAGTGATAATGAGAGGCGCGGAGGCGGCAAGGAATGGACGCCCAAGCGAAAGGGCCAGCTCGCTGCGGTGGAGACGGATCCCGCTGCGGAGGGTGCAACACGCCTAGGAAGGAAGACAGCGCCGAGGGAAAGACTCAAGATTCCAGACAGTGGGGGCGTTTTCCTTCGTTCTCAAACCTGCCTCCAAAAGTTCTAGACCCAGGCTCGCCCCAAAATACTGTATCCCCGCAGTCTTCCCCGGAGCGATATCGGTTGGCCAAATTCCAGAGAAGATCTGGAGGCGCTGGACGGAGGGGAACCGCCACGAGCAGAAGCACGGGCGGGGCAGGGGCTCTCCCGGGGGAGCAGAGAGGCGGGACGCCGGAGGCAGAGACGGTCGGGTACGACGTCCGCGCCCGTCGCGGAGCAGCGGGCCCCCGACGGTGCTCCCAGACCCGGGCCTGGGGAAGCCGCCCCTTCTCCGTGCACTCACCTCTCCGACTGCGAATAGCGGCATCGGCCCAGCAGGTTGAGTTTGCAGAGGTGCAGGTCTTCGCACGGTCTCTGGCAGTACTTGCGACGGCAGACCCGGGCTCGGGTGGTGGCCACCACGAAGCCGGTTACCCTGGCCCTGTCGCCGGTCTCCAGCAACACGAATCGGTCGGGCCCAGCCGCCTCCAGCACTTCGCGGAGCTGCGCCTCGGTGAGCGCGATCTTTTCGAGCAGCGCGTCCAGGGCCATGCGGCCCCCGTGGGCGCACAGGATTTTGGTGATGAAGCAGCACACCTCCGGGTCCGCCATGGCGCGCTGCGCTGGCCGGCCGCGGCGCGGGACGCCGCTCCGGGGAGAATCGAAACTTATAGGAGCCCCGGGGGCGGGGGCGGGAGCGGGCGGTGCTGCGCTGGGCGCGCCCGGGACCAGCGAGCGCGCGCTCCTCGCCGCCGTTAGCTGAGCCCAGCGGTTTCGTTTTCCCGCTCGGCCCTGGGTCGGGAGGCCGGAACTCGCCGACCCGATCCCCGTGCCGGACTGAAAGTGAACCGCGACGGCAGCCGAAGGGAAAGAAAGCGAACGGCGCGTGCGGGTCTGCCGGCGACTTCCGCAACCGCCGGACCCCTTCGCTGGCTTCTTGGCTCCGCCAGGGTGACGTTCCCCAGCTGGGCACAGCGAGGCTTCTTCCGAAAGAATTGAAACTAAAAATGATCTGGGGCCCCGGTGGAGTTTTTTATAAGCCAGCCCGAGTGGCGAATGACGCGAGTCTTAGGAGCCCCCCGGAGGAGTTCTCTGTTCGCCCCACCCATTCCGGGAAAAGAACCGACCCTAGCGAGCGCTCGCCCGAAGCTGGGTGCCCGGCCTCCGCTCTTGGTGAATCTTCTCAACAACTCCAAGGATTAGATGCTGTTATCCTAATTCTGTACTTCAGGAAGTAAGTAACTTGAGTAGACACAACCATTAAGCTGGAACCTGGATGTACCCGAGGTTCTCCAGATCTGGCCCCACGCCCCAGATCGTGGTCCACCTGGCCAGGACCGATGTGCCCTTTCTCCCCCAACACCATGCCCTCTTAAAGAACAGCGATTATTGCTCTCGCTCTTTTTCGTCTTCGCGCGAGCTTTTTGAAGAAACCCCCCCTTCTTGCCACTGTTTTGCCTGCCTGTGATCGGTAACTGGGGTGTCCCAGGTACCACTTAATTCTCAACGGCAAGTGGTCACAGAGAGGCATGCTTAGACATATCCCGAAATTTCAGATGGGTTCCTCTCTTTGTGCGTTTGGACAAGGCCTTATCCCTTGTGGAGACCCTCTTGGACCCCCAGAGCCGGTATAAAGATTGTCTTAAAGTGAAAACATTCGGGCTACAGAAGATGCAGAAGGAATTTTTGCCTGAAATTTTCAATCTCAAAGCAGAGCCTCCTTCAGATACAGCTGCCATTAACCCCCTTCCAAGGGAGCTTCCTGCTAATTCAGCCGCCCAGGGAAGACAGACTGCCCATCCATTAGCATCAGAAAGCCCAATAGAACCTTCCTTATTCTCCCATTGAAGCTCTAAATAAACTCTTTTGTTAAATTGAGATAGATAAACTTCAGCTATTCCAGGACTTTTCCATTACTGGGAGCTCCCCCCACCTCCCAATGTGAAAATAAACCTTGTCTTTTCCCCTGTTAATCTGTCTATTGTCAGTTAATTTGCAGACCCCCAAACACCATATCCAACCCTATCCAAGTTGGAAGAAGAAAAAGGTTTTCCTTCCAACACTCCCAAGTTAAAAAAAAAAGGGGGGGGGGGG